GTCATCCTTGGGACGGTCTGCCACATCGAGCTCTTTTAAGATGTGTCTGAACATTAAATCGCAGTGCAGAGCTTATAACATCATTAACACTCGGTGGATCACAGTGGCACTAAAATCCCCTGGAAGGCTGTTTGACGTCTTAATAAAACATGTCAGCTGGCAGAAATTAAAATTAACAATGGATGCAGTCTGGGAGGTATCAAGAGTTCTGTGTGTGACAAAGTGTGTTAGGCATTCAGTCCCAATCCCTCACCTTGGTGCCATCCAGGCTGATGATGCGGTAGACATTGCGCGTACTGTCGTAGAAGTACGAGACGGTGACGGCGTGCTTGCTGGTGGGCAGCCAGTTCTTCTTGGTGTTGGGGTCAATCTGGAAGACGTGGGCCCTCGTGCTGTAGATGGGCTGCTCCCTGAATGGGACGAAGAAGAAGTGGTGAACCTCTTTGTGCTGCAACACCAACGTCTCCCCAAACCCACCGCCAGCAGCGCAACTCCTGCTGGACTCAGACCGCCCTGGCACACGAATGACCAACTCGCCATCCTCCATCGTTACGCCACAGAAAGGGAGGCTGCCAAAAGACTACTACATATACACATTGTCTACACCTGGATAACAAGCTGCTGTCAACCTACAGCAGAGTTCCCGCATAACCCTAAAGTCTACTCTTCCTCTCGTACATTGTCGCTCTACTTGTAAATCAATACATTAAACTCAAACAGCTAACACAAACTCTCTGTCTTTCACTTCCTGTAAGTCAGCTCCGTCTCTCCGTGCTCTGATATGGAAATGCCTGCAGCACTGAGTGAGGGTCACACAGGGGAGCACAGAAGGGGAAAGGAGAGGGTTTAATGCTAAATATAGACAGTAGGCCACGGTTAACCAAGAGAGACACACCCCACTGAACTACAGTTTCCACATAGACACACATAATGCATGTGCATATATCTAAACATGAGCAGACTATGAAACAGAAGTGGTGGAATCATTAATCTGATTGTGGCTTGGATCAAAACTCCATTGTGGTTTAAGATGAGTTAATTCTTATTGACCCCTGGATGACGCTCATAACAGAGTTAGGATTCACCCCACTGTTTATTTTTGGGGATTATATAAAAGCCATCTTTGTTTTTTGACCATTAACTCATCTGTCAGTAATGCACTACTTTCACTCTTTGTCCATTTATCCTTCGACTCCTCGGTATGCTCTTAACATGCCCTTGTATATTTCAGCATTGTTGGGGCTTTTTGGGTAATATCTACAGTCAGTGCACACACACACACACACACACACACACACACACACACACACACACACACACACACACACACACACACACACACACACACACACACACACACACACAGTGCAGGGTGCAGAGGGAGATATTCTGTGCTGGCAGTGCTGGTGCTGGCAGAGCAGGAGATAGAGAAGTGCTTACACTGCACTGAGGGGGTGATGGGGGACATCAAAGGCTTGCTGTATAAATGAATATAAAAATTCAGCAGCAGCACCCCTCCTGTGTGTGATTAGCCAAGACTGGGAAAGAAAGAAAAACATGGAGACAGGGAAAGGGGAGAGAGGGGAGTCAGACAGGAATAGAAAGATGGGGAATGTGGAGAGTAAGGGAAGTCAGAGAGTGAATCTGGGATGATTAATGCTGCTTGTGCGCAAATTATTATAATCATCGACAGCAGTGTAAGTGGCAGAACTGTGAGTCACTTCAACTCCCTCCAATCACACATCACACAACCACAGCCTGTCCGTATGATCCGTGCAATAGCCGCTTGGCGACCGGCATCGTTTTTCATTGCATAATGTGATGGAGCTGTGTCAAGTTTAGTGATTCTTGTTGCTCGATTGTGTTTGGACCAAACACAGCAACTTACTTGTGCTTTGATTTTTACATATGAGCGCCTGAGCCAAAGAGTTTTATTCCAGAACAACACCCACCAGTTGTAAAAAAAGACAAGAGAAAGCAATAGGCCTACTTACTCCTACAACCAGACTTTTGAAAGGCAAAGAATAAATGATCGATTGAATCTTACAAAATATATCGGACATTTAATTATATTTGTGTATTTTTCTCTCCTAAAACGCAGGCATATCCACAACACAAAAGGCATCAGGCCCACTATAAATGCCCCCACTTTATTCTACAGTGATTCTGGTCTGAGCCAAATAGCCTGTCAGAATGACTTGTTATGGGATTGCTTAGAGGTCAAATAAGAACACGTCGATCCTCTTGAACTCAGCGAGAGGTGAACTCGGGCGTTAGCAGTGAGCTGCACAGATTTAGCATCAGGGAGGAACAAAAGCGGGAGATAAAGCCTTAAAATTCTGTCTATCTTCCAAAAGAGCATACAAGAGAGTGCATGTGAAAACAAAATCTGCCCATGGCACTATAACAAGAGAAACATGGTCTGAACAATTCAAAATGATGAGGAAAAAGAAAGTGAGGAGGGGTCATTTCAGTGTAATGCGCAGGCTTGGGGTGGTTTCTTCTTTTCTAAGGTCACATTGTTCTGTTGTCTTATATAATACACCTCGGTAAAACATCTTATTGATATTTATTTTCACTTGTATTTATTTGGATTGCATTTGATATTGAGGAAATCTAAAAATAACTTATCAGGTTACATTACTTATATATTGTTATACTCAGTTTACATTACTGATTACTTTCTTTTACAAGTAACTATTAAAGGTCCCATGGCATGGCCATTTCTACTGATCATAATTCCTTTGTTGAGGTCTACTACTGTAGAATAGATTTAAATTGTGCAATTTTCCAAAATCACATTGGTTTCTCATACAGCCTCTCCGTATAGTATGTGTATTCACCAGGTATCAGGGGTGGATTGGGACTAAAAATCAGCCCGGGAAACTCTACCGGTATTCCTAATGTCCGCCCCTGCCAGGTATTCACTCTGTCCTAAACGGCTTGTTGGAGCTCCTGCCCCCCCCTCCGTGTGAGCCCAGTGTGCTCTGATTGGTCGGGATGTTGCGAGGCTCGGTGCTGCGAGGAGCGGACAGGCTTCCGGGTCGGCGATATAGCGAGAACNAGCGAATGTCATCCTGAGCACACATAGACACTCACAGCCGAAGTAAAAACAATAAGTGTGGCTTGATATTGAGTAAGAAAAAGTTTTCTAACGCTGTGAGAATCGGTCTGCGGAGAGCATTTCTCCGCGATCCCAACTCCTCTATTACCTGTGCTCAGGGACTCCCTGTTAGTTAGCCAAGGGATCCTGGTGTGTGAGGTGCTCCGCGCATTGGTCTATTTGGGCCATTCCGGTCATTTGGGTATTCACACGTCACAGAACCCAGGAAGCAAACAAGGGAAAATCAGAAATCTCCAACGAGGCGCTCTGGGGCAGCATAGACAGGTCTTTTCTGTGTTAGAGTTTTACTCACTACAGGGTGTACTTTGAGGGTTTGTGACTCTGCAGACCGTTTACATGCATACAAACCTTCATAACACACAAGGGGACGGGTAATAACTGGAAAAGCATGACATGGGACCTTTAATTGTAACGGAATACATTTTTAAAGTAACCCTCCCAGCCCCGGTAATGCGTATAAGTGGTAAAGGAGAATGTGGAAAACACAGAGGAGGAATAAGAGGAGGAGGTGTTGCAGCATGCAGAGTGTAGGCATGACACAAGGGCAGGTGATAGAACGTGAATGTTAAAACAGAGAGAGAAGGGGGCAGAACGAGAGAGGGAGGCAGACTGATGAAGTGAGAGAAGAAGGCCGGGATGAGGAAAATGTGGAGGAGGTGATGAATGTAGGAGAGGATGAGAAGAAGATGAAGGAAGTGGGATGCTCTAAACTGCAGATTGTGCGGTAAACAATTATGTGCGCCGCTCAGATGAACTTTCAGAAACCTAATAACAGTTTTTAAAGGAAAAGCCTGGTAAAGTGTCAAACAGCTACATGAGGAGGATGTGTGACGCTTTGTTGCGGGAGGATAATGATGATGATAAATGGATGGATTGATTGTGTAAGAGTTGCATCAAGAAAAGCAAGTTGCAGTACGTTCTGTTGTATAATATTATATATAATACAACATAATAAATGATTACTCATATGTGATACAAATTCCTTGTATGTGTAAACCAACGTGTCAATAAACTTGACTCTGATGTGATCTGGGCATGTGAGTACTGAAACATTTTATTTTTTACAGTAAACCTTTCATTTTATGTCAAATTAAAGTTATGGCTTTAGGCTTTCAGTCAGCTGTGTTACGTTTTAGAAAACAGAGAAGAGTGAAACAAAAGGAAGACTGATATAGAGACAGGGTGATTGCTCTGGGGTAGGTTGTGATTTAAAGGGTACAGAAAAATTGCAACAATAAAATCTAGGCTAAATAGTTTTGATTTTATTTGCCAAGGTCTTGAAACCTTTCTGTCTTCACTCAAGTGTAATCGAGGTGGATAAGAAAGTTGTTTGATCATTAAACAGAAAACGGAAACATTGCCTCAGTCAGTCTTGACTATCCAAATGTGAACTGTTTCTATTGGACAAATAAATAGTCTCCATGAGAACTTTTCAAATGGATGTTGGATGATTTGTATTTGAATAGATGTAAACTATTATGTAAAAAAAAACACTTCCTGAATGGCCAGATTGTATTGAATTTTGAGAGACCCTTTAAAATATGTCAAACTGTGGCACACATATCAACCCAGCACATGTTGACATAGGTATTGATTGGCAAACAACACTGTACCAATACCCACAAGGCATTTCACATGAACACACACACACACACACACACACACACACACACACACATCCCAGGAGATTTCGCTTTCCCTTGCCAGCTCTATGTTCATCCCCGTCTCTGAAGAAATTGTCCTTATTTCCAGATTTCTTCATTAATTCAACAGAGTAGCGCTTGGAGGCAAGTAGATCTTATTTAAGGTAGAGAGAGATCATTAATGAGAGAGCTCCCTGTTGCTATATCTACTGGGAGCGGCTTCGATGAACTGA